TCTCTCTCTCTCTCTCTCTCTCTCTCTTATGCTCACTTATGCATGAGCTGTGTCTCAAACGCTTCGTTCAGTGTGACATTTTAAAGCCATGTGAGCTAACGAGCCAGAAACACCTAATGTGACCTGGAGTGTTTGTACAGATGTGTCTGTGATTCATCAGAGCAAGCGTCTGCATCTGCATTCAGGTGCTGCAGGATCTCACTGCATCTAGTGCATTGATTTTATGGGGGAATTTATTTTATTTGTTTAGTAAATAAATTTTATTGGGGGAGTTATTTATTAATTTATTTATTTACTACTTTTATTTTATTGGGGGGAATCAATTAGTCCATTTATATCATTTATATGTTTACAATTTATGAGGGGTGGGGGTGGGGTAATAAAATGTATTTTATTGGGGGATTTATTTTTATTTATTTATTTACTTACTAACTGCATTTATTTTATTGGGATTTAATGAGTACATTTATTTCATTTATTTGTTTACAATATATATTTATTGGAGGGGGGTTTATTAATATTATTTTATTGGGGGGGTTATATGTATTTATTAAATAAATTTTATTTAATAAGTTTATTGGGGGATTTATTTGCTACATTTGCTTTATAGAAGATTTATTTAGGTTAGGGTATGGATTAATTAATTACTTAATACATTTATTTATTTAGTACATACGTTTTTGGGGGTATTTATTTACTACATTCATTCATGTTTTGAGGACAAATATTCTTGATTTTAAATTCATGATCTTCTCTCAAAAGGCAAAAACAAAGGAATACTGCAGGCATCATGTTGAGAGCGTTTAAAACTGTTGTTTGAAGGATCATGATTGTGAAACTGCTTGTGTGGCACAAAAACTGTGTGGAATGTTTTGGCACCAATACAAAACCTGCATTAATCATGCTTTATATACTGTACACACCATGATACTGCTACCATGGGTGTCCTGCATTAGTGATTTTACTATAGTACCCAGTACATTTTACCACAGTTATGCAAGTAAAGCCTGACTGAAACAGAGTGACATGTTGAACTGTTTCTGTTGTGTAAGTGTGTATTTGATGAGACTGATGACTCACGACTCTCTCTCTCTCTGCAGTGCAGTGGGTGGATCTGGAATGCAGCTGCGCATTAATAATCGCGATATTGTTTTCTTTATTTGCTGATTAGTATTAAATATCATGAGAATGGAGCTCTGAATCGAAGCTGCGATTCATCGCGGAAGGTTCACAGGCCAATCAGCTTTAAGCTTTTTCAATCAGCTTTTTATTTTCATGTATTTTTTTAGGCAAAACACTGCATGCAAAAAAATAATAATTCGCCTGATTTATATCATATTCGATTCTTAATTTATATATATATATATATATATATATATATATATATACAGGTGCATCTAAAAAAAATTGAATATCATGAATATTTTCTATAAATTATTTCAAAAAGTGAAACTTTAATATATTCTAGATTCATTACATGTAAAGTAAAACCTTTCAAAAGTTTTGTTTTAATTTTGATGATTAGAGCTTACAGCTCATGAAAGT